ACTCTGTTTGCACTTAATAAAATTGTTTGGCCCTTGACTTCAATGGTCGGTTTGCTTCCTTCCCGCCTCCGGGACCTGAGCTTGCTAGTCTCCACAAGTGTGCATTCGCAGAGACCACGAAGAAAAATGGTAGGTTACATACCTGTGACCATCTTTCTTCAAGTGGTGCTCTGCGAATTCACACTAACCCGCCTGGCCTCCCCTCTAGCAAACCTCCAATTTCTCGCTACCGTAGCGGCGTAGGAATTGGATCGGTGTGCGCGGGGCGCCCTTTTATCCCCTGCCGGGGCTGGGCGGGGTTACCGCCAAAACTTGAAAAGTTTTAAAATGTAGAAGTTTCCGTTGGAGCCCGCGCAGGCGCAGTCTCTCCACAAGTGTGAATTCGCAGAGCACCACTCGAAGAAAGATGGTCACAGGTATGTAACCTACCATTACTTTGACCCTTTTCTCTTATAGTAAATCTTTCTTTTATTTACCTGTCCTCCACTGAAGTCAGAAATCCCTTCGTTGCTTCACAGAACGTCTTTGCTTCTGAAAAAGTTTTAGTTGTCTGTCCTATGAAGTAGCAATATAAGCCATGCCTTTTCCAGCCCTACCCATGGAAAAGAACCATTAGTCACTACATTACTACTACATTAACATAGTCCTAGTTTCATTTCAAATATTGCATAATCATACCAATATCTGTAGGAACTGACCAAAAATGGACATCATGATGGACCACAGGGACTGCACAGAGTTTTGTCTTTCATCCTCCAAAGCACATTAGCGACGTAAAAGTCATGGCTTGGACATCTCTTTACAATTAACACTGATGTAATGCTCCTTTATACCTATGTATGTACAATGCTTTTTTGAATGGTGAAAAGTACCAATTGGAAGACAAATGAAAACACATCTGTACCACTGAAAATGTTCCTTGTCAATGGTTCTAGTCTCTGGAATGTCAATTCACAAAAGCCCCAGCTTGACCAACTGTTGGGAATTTTGAGAGGTAAAGCCCAAAGTGTCAAAGGTTGGTAAGAATGGCTCCAAACCACTGCTTCTTAATCTGTGGGTCCTGAGTCCCATAAGAGAAAATGAGGGTGGTAAAACATTTGGGAACAGTAAAAGGTTATGTTTGAGATATTTACAAGACTCTGTTAGCAACAACGTGCAGTGTTTACTGGGGAGTGGACTTTGCAGCAGAAATGTTTCAACTTTACTTCATAAAAAGGAAAATCAGCCTGTTTAGCAAGCCTTGCAAATGCTGGTTTATTACCAATACATGCTTGATTTTATAACTACTTTACATACCCATATACCTGGGGTCACATAAAAAAATCTCAGGTAGAAAGGAGTCATGAGTGGCAAAAAATTAAGAAACCCTCTTCTGGACAATAGTATTATCTTTTTTTTATCCAGAAGGGAAAATATGAAAGAAGTGAGGAAATTGAGGGATAAAAGCTGAACATGTGGACCCCGAACAGGGACATATCACTAAGAATAGAAAGAGAAGGCTGAGTGCACCCAGAAAGGAGAACTTTCACTACTCTGCACACTACAGAACTTCTGAATTACTGGATAAACTTCAATATGATCAGAAACTCTTAAAAATCATTTTCTTAAACATCTATACAATTTGCTGTAGACTTACTTTGGGGCAAGTTGGATCAACAGGTTCAGGTTCATCCACTAAAGTTAGCAACGGTTTACTTTTACAGATGTAGCCCAATTCTTCATCACAGAAATTATCTTTCCAGTATCCATTCTGAACATGAAAAAAACACGCATAAAATACCATAAGAAAGGGATATATTTTCTTGACACTCTTGGGAGTCAATATTTGAAAATGTTTATGCCAGTAAAAACTCAGTTTTTACATGAGTTGGAGAACTGCACAAAATGCTATGTCTGTTATGTATGTCCCTCCCTGAAATCCACAGCACAAATCAATCAGAAAAAAAGAGACTGATATCTTGGCAAGTGAGAGAAAAAAATCAAAAACACTATCAGTCATACCATCAGAGATCAGAAATCTTACTTGGCAACCCATCTGACTTCTCAGATTTTGTTGGACATTTCCTATCCACTTAGTTACTAAAAGCTTCTTTTCAGCTGTGGTTCCTCAAACTGGTTAATAAAGCTGTCTCTTGAAACATGACAGGGCTTATTATCTGAACAGGACTGGGATAAAACTGTTGACTTTCCCCATATGGCAAGAATACCAATTGCATGGTTAGAATCCTAAACAGAATTAGGTGTGTATAATGACCTCTTCAGATGCAGGGTGCCCCTATTTCTACACATTTTAAAAACAGTTAAAAGACGAGTCCCATGGAGCCCATTATATGACACAGCACTACTTCTAGCAGTTCCTCGTGGGACTCTGTCTCTAAACTGTTTTTAAAGTTTGCAAAGACAGGTGTTGGAGTTGGGAAGCAATCATCTTCAGAGCTCCCAATTTGCACATAAATGGCTAGAAGTGCTTATTTTAACATGGGATGGGAACGATCAGATTCCCTTCTGTTAGGTCATTGTAGTGACATCAAAGTGTGGGTGTTCCTGTGGGTGATCTCGAAATGTGCCTTGATACTTCTTTTCTCACCATTAATCCTCTTGCATGGAATGTTTACAATAATTATTTTAATATAATTTATTGTTCAGGATTTGTGCAATTCTGATATATTACCAGTTTACTGTAGCTATAGTAAGAAATTCGTATGGGCGGGAACTGCACTCACTCAGGTGATTACTCAGAATATGGAGGATTACTGTTGAAATGGACATTGCATGTGATGGAGTGAATATATTATCTATGTTCCTTATAACAGGACAGAACACTACAGTAAATAAGGTGATTCCCCCTGCCCCTCATGGGATGAGGTCCTTAGTCTATAATACTCTGGGATGTTGGATGTCCCTTAGTGATGGAGTCTCTATAAATTGAAGTAAGTCTGATGCCAAATAACAACAACAAAGTCTTTCTACTCGTATGGTTGTAGATAGATACATCTTATCTTGTACATACTGGGCTACCAACAGAAGAAATTGTTACGTGGAATAATCAATTGTTAGCTAGCTATCTAAACCTGGTGTTCTTAAACTATAATCCATGGACTCCTTGTCTATGCATGCCATTTAGTTAGTCTTTAAAAAGTAAGGATTTTCTATTACTTTGTTATATTAATATATATTTTTTCTGTGGAAGAGGTCCACAACTTTTCTCAGATTCTGAAAGGAGTTCATGATCCCAAAACAGGTTAAGAAACTGAACTTACTTCTGGACAATCTATCCTATAACACAAATGCAAGGGAAATACACCTCTGCCCAATAGATAGAGATGCCTTTTTTTTTTTACCTCTCCACTCATGATAACACAGTCCTCTTGCACATTAGTTACATGTGTGGGTTCTCCTCGCTGCCACTTGGTAAATCTTACTGGAGTACCATCACTCCATTCAAAATACATTTCAGTCTTCTGGTCATTCAGTCCTATCCACAGAAGGTCTGTTGGGTCTAAGAACATAAATGCATGCTTTATATTGGTCTACAAGAGTCTGTTTCTTGAACAGAATTGTCTGATCAACAGCTTTATGAGTGCACAATTGCAAAAGTAGGAGACCATGAAAAACCATAATCCAGCTAACATTTTCATTGCAGGTTTTTAAATTTATTCTTTTAAAAATTGTACATAACCATAATTACCATGCTTTCTCCCCACTTTTTCATTCCCTTGCCCCACACCTACCACTTCCCTATTGACAACATAATCCCTTTGTTTCCTGTTACATGAGCCTTCTATCGATTCTATCTATCAATTTATTTTTCCACCCCCAAGCTATTACTGCATGTGCTTTTCTAAACATAATCATCATTAATTCTTGGCCTTGGTCCTTAACTCTTCTACCTCCCTATTAAAAATTGCATATTTATATCAAATTTTATTTTAGTATGTAATTCTACCTGGTTTAGAATTTGATTCCAGAATTTCACACTCCCACCATAGATGTGAGTACCATGCCCCCCAAATCCCACTATGCCAACATTTGGGATTTAATCCCTGAATCATATGTGCCAGCTGAATTAGTGTTCTATACCATTTTGTTATTATTTTCAATCCTAATTCCTTGTATTTTCTATTTTTATTTTATTCAAACTATTGATTATCTTATCTATTTTTTCTTTTCCTAGGCCCCTTCCTTTTCTCACTTGTTTTCCATTATTCTTCACATAGATTCCTTATCTTTTATCAATCTTCCATATATTTTATTAAGTCCCTTTTTGCCGCCAAATCTCTCTTACTACTTTCTTCCTTTTTAATGTGTTCCCAAATTCCTCTTAGTGTTAACCAATTTATCCCACCCCTAATGTTTCCAATTGTTTCTATTCCATTAATTCCTTATTTTCATTATATTAATCTTTGATTTTATTATATCCCATCTGTTTCAAATTTTTATGATGCTCTTTTACATTATTTGTAAGGATTCAATAGTCTCATTGACCCTTATTTGCTTCATTCTCTGTTCTGATCCACTTCTCTTGCTAACATTTTCATTGCAACTGGATTTTTAAAGTATTGTTACAATTTAGCAGCATTTAATTACCAATTTTTTGCCCTATAGATACTTATAGGAGAACATATGTGCCCTCCAATGCTCTTCCTGCCAATTAGGGAAGATAGGAAATACCCTGGAAATTTAGTATGTTTAGTATGTAATTAACAATTGTGGTTTCAAAAGTAAGCATTCAGGATTCACACTTCTTTCAAATCCACTCCGGAGTCAATGTTTGTTTGTGGAACAGACTATTGATATAAATAATTATGACCATTAACAAGTTCATGTTCTTAGGTCAGGAGAGTAGCCCAAATATGTAAGGGCTTCAGTAAAATGTACTTGCTTCCAATTGTTTTTTTTAATTATATAAACACACAGAACTAGACATGAATGTAGCCAGAATGTTCTGGATATACATACTGTATCCAAGCTGAGAAATCGCGAAGCTGTATTCTTCAACATTGTGCATACTTATTAAATCTCCACCTGCCTTTCGACAGTACAGTAATGCATTCTTCCATGTCTTAAGATTTCTGTTAAGATGGTAACAATGGCCGGCATAGGCAACCCAGCCATCTAGACACTTAATTGGCTTTAAATCATCTAAAAAGAGAGCAATAATGAAATTTGCATTAAGAAAAGTGAATAACATGTTCTGTATGCAGTTCTCGAATACATTCTTCCATATATTGGAAATACATAATTGAAGTTTGAAGTAACACATTCTTTTTACATCCTGTTAAAAACTTTTGCAGTAATGGAATTTTCTATAGAATGTTTGACTGTTGGGATGATTGCTATATAATTTTTCCTTCTTTCTGAAGCTACTGTAGGATTTTGATATAAAATTGTGTACCTTTATTTCTTCAAAAATAAATTTGGAAGCAAATCTAAAATCCTATAAAATATGCAAAAGGAGAAACTATAACTGCATATATAGACTGTGCCTATGAATATTGCCCATATGAGTAGATTGCTTTGTAAGGTGGTAGTTTTAGGCAGACATGGATCTAAAGAATTGCCAAATAATTTGTTCTATGTTAGCATAACATGACCTTGTCTATACACTTAATAAACAGAGCTAGCAACTATTTAGCTTCAGCTCCTGATTTTTTATTTAAGACTTCTACTTGTATCTTACAATTATTTTTCGGTTATATTTATATCTGACATAGCTTTCATAGTTAAACCTGCAAGGATCATACTTTAAATTGGAATCTCCCCTCTTATTAATCAGCCCACAAATCAATAAGACATCCACAACATATGCTTTCAAACTTCAAATTGCTCTGGGAACCTGACAGCGATAAGTACTGACAGACATTTCAAATAATACTGCAGTTCTTCTATCAAATTCTTCCATTCCACACCACTCAGCCAATAGTTCCCCAAGTAGAGCAAATAAATAGTTACAGGTTGTAGGTATTAGTTACCACTATGATCAAAACCTAGCACAATCATGTGATCATTTTAATACATTGGAACCCTAATTATATCAGTGTAATATTTATACAGTTACACATCAATTTCCATTTAATTGCCTACCTGCAGGCATAACTGGAACATCTAGTGAAGAGTTATCTTTTTTGCAAATGTATCCAAATTTCTCATCACATTTATTATTCACCCATCTACCATTATTTGACTTCATTGATCCACAAATCTTTTCAGATTCTGGAGATGGGCTGCCTTTTTTTCAAAAAAGGAAGGTGAAACAAAAGCTCTTATGTTAAAATTGTCACACTTGAAACAAGAAAATTAGTTCAAATCAATCCTATTTTATTATCTGTTAATGGTATTTAAATATGTAACATAAAGTCTATCAACCACAACATGGGGAAGCATGATAAATTCAATATGATGTTTCTAATGAATCAATTGCTTCTCTCACTTCAAGAATCCAAGACGTCATTTATATTGTCAATCAAAATGGTTTTGGTTTGTTCCCAATGTAAGAAAATACATTATATATCTGGGAGAATGTGTTTATTGATGTACTACATTATATGCAGTGTTATGATTATAAGAAAACAACCAATAGTTGTATTAAATTCTTTCTCCGAAGCCTATTTTTAAGTTGAACTTTCTTTGATCACAAAAATTGGGTTTTCATATGTTCTGACTTCCATTAAATTCCTTCTAACGATTAAATGGTGAAGGTTTTTAATATTCAAACACTGCATTTACTTACCTGGAGCCCAGTTTAAATATCTGAAAGGTTTGTTGCCTGCCCATTCCCATCCACTTTCAAAATCAAGGTTGTGAAGGCCTATCCAGAAGTCGGTGTCAAGAGAACTTGTTAATCCTAACAAAGGAAAAGAAAATGACTTGTATTTAACATAGCTAGGGCTATTGCAGTTGTGAAGCTTATAACGGTTTTACCTAAGATTCTGTAATGGACAGAGAAGGTCACAAGCTATAAGTGTCATGTCACAAGTCAGCGTCACACTAAGGAAACCATATTTTTATATTTTAGCAGTGTAGAGAAAGCCCACAAAGTTACAGGCGGATAGTCTGCCTTGGCTCCCACCCCCAAGACATTTGTTCCATGGAGAGCATCATCAGGCCATGAGCTTGATGGTCAAGAGGGATGTCATAAACCTTCATTGCCAATTTGTGTGGTTTATCGTTGGTGTTCATAATCCAACACAGCATTGGATAGACTTTTCCATCTTTCACTTGATTTGTCCTTTATATCTACTTGGGCACATAAAGAGGCATGAAAACAGGCTGTTCTATATTATCTGGTCAACAAACCTGAGGGCCAATGATATGCTGGATTAGGCTGCATTTATTGAGGTCATCATCACATAGAAACATTGGGTAATTGTGAGAGAGAATTGCCTGATGGAGACAATGAATTTATTAGAATTGTCAATGTTTGAGATGATTTAAAGATAAGGGATTATTTTTAAAACATACAACACCTTGAGGCACAAGAGAGAATCTTTTGGCCGTTTGGGACTAACAGAGAGGTTGGGCGTTATTGATCCCAGAAAGTTTGGTCATAGAGTGGACTTTGTGGGTCTTCTATCAAGGATTAATTCATCAAATCAAAGTTTCCCACCAGGATTGAGAAGCAAGACTCATTTACAATTAAAGTCTTCTTGTTTTCGTATGTACTATTCGATTTAAATAATTTTAATTGTTTTTCATAGCTTTAATTTGGTAATACTGATTTTACTCATTGCATGCCCTGAGATCACATCATACAAGGCAGGATATACTATTAAACAGTTTATTAAATATTTCAATAAAGTCCAAGTTTGGGAGAAAGAAAGGATATAAAGCAGTGGTTCCCAACCTGTGGTCTATGGACTACCAGTGGTCCCCAAGAACTGAAATATGGGTTGTTGTAGGTTTTTTCGGGCTATATGGCCATGTTCTAGAGGCGTTTTGGACTACCAGTGGTCCCCAAGAACTAAAATATGGTTTGCGGCCTCACTGTTACTACACCGTTGCAACAAGAGCGACTGGTCTCGCAAAACCCTCTTATAGTGCTGAAGCAACAGGGATATCGGGAGGCTGACTACTCATGAAAGTCACAACAACAAGCCTCCTGACTGCTGCTTCTCCTCCTCTGCCCTCCCACTGAGTGGAGCCATTCCATGTGGTGCCTGGAAGCAGGGGTGTCTTGGTGGTCTTCATTTTTAGGCCTGTTTCTGGGGTTATTTGGGATGTTGATTCAGAAAATTGCACTGGATAGACCACATCAGCTCAAGATTATTAAATATGATTTTCTGTGGGCGAGCAGATGGCAACTACTGGATGGTATATGTTCTGTATCAGAAACTAGAGCCAGTGTGGTCTATCCAATGCAATTTTCTGAATCAGCACTCCAAATAACCAAACCGAATCTAAAGTTGACCAAAAACCGATTTGTAACCCTTTTGATACTAATGTTGGAGAGTGGTTCCTGGTCAAAGTGGTCCCTGGTCAAGTGGTCCCTGGTTTTTTAAAAAAAGGCTTATCGTACATTTGATAACAATCAACAACCTGCCAAAAAATCTATCAATTCTAGTTGCAATGTATAACTCATATTTAGAGAGTTTAAAACTTTATCGTGGAAATTATAATCTTCATATTTGCTTCTTCAAATATTCAGCTGAGACAAAATTTATTAATGAGAAAAATATCTTGAGAAATTACTAATTATTAACTTGTGTTTAATAATATTGTACCTGTCAAGTATGTTTGTTCATGAAGTTCTTTGATGCTCAGCAGTTCTGCATTCTGCTGCTGACAACTTTTTCTGGCTTGGTGCCATGTGAGAGCTGAATGAGAGTTGATTTGGTAGAGATCTCCTGTCCAATGGTTTTTGGTCCAGAAAAAATCGTCTTGGTCAACTGTGAAATAATCGTAAACATTGTAAACACTGGGATGAAATCATTAGCTGTGAAACTAAATCCAGAAGTGAAACTTAAAACCAAAAAACCCCCACATCTTAGTATGCTTTTTCTGAAGAAATTCAAAACCCAGACATATGTGTTTATTTCCATGAATGGGTTCTGCTCACATTCCAATGAAAGGCCAATGAGGTAGAAAAATTTCCTTCACCACATCTGTCCTCCATGCCCTCATTTTCAGAAGAAAATCCTGAGATATATGGAATCTGTGACCTTTTCTCAGAGCCTGGAAAAGTCACTTTTTTGCAGTACAAAATCCAGAATATTTAATCCAGTATAGCCAATAGCCATAGAATAATAGTTGGAGGAGGGTCACTAGGGTCATCCAGTCCAACCCCATTCTGCCATATAGGAATATATATAATCAAAACACTTCTGACTAATCACCAGCCGATCTTTCTTTAAAAATAAGACTCTACTAAGTTCTGGGGCATCATATTCCCCTGTCAAATAGCTCGTAGCACCAGGATGATTTTTTTTTTCAAATGTTCAGGTGGAATCTCTTTTGAACCTTGAAAAAGCCATTTTTTGCTGCATAATTCATTGTCACCCCAACTCTGTCTTAAACTACTGGTGCATTCACTTAGTTTTGGAATTATTATTGTCCGTGTTCATTGGTTTTGGAATTGTTTTTATTGTTGTTATTATTAACATTTCCTAGACCTTTCCCCTTTGAAGTTCACAGCCTAACAGTTTAAAACACAATCCACAAAACCTCAAAACACAAAGATAGCAATTGAAATTATAATAGTTTTAATGTGTGCATTAAAAGGGAAGAGGTTAAAACAAATTAACACATTATTTGTCTTGATAACTTGCAAGGTTTTCCTCACCTTCTAAAGTGAAGATGTTAGTATGGAAATGGGATAGGCTTCACTCAGGCCCCATCTACTCTGTCATATAATCCAGTTTCTGAACCCAAATTCTCTGTTTTGAATTAGATTATATGGCAGTATAGACTCATATAATCCAGCTCAAAGCACATAATCTGTATTCAGAGCAATGTAGATCCAGCCTCAGAAAGTAATATCAAAGAGCATCGCTTGAGCACGCTGTATTCCTAGTGTCAGCTAAATGCAGTGACAAGACATAAGGCTAGGCATCTGTTTCTTTTCTTGTTGATTAAAACTCTATGTTTGAGCAGGACTTGTACCTATGTTGAATGTGACATATGTAAACCCACAGGAGTTCCTGTCTTTGGTATTCATGGTGCAGAGGCATCTTTTAGCATCTTTAAGGCTGAGAAAAAGAGAATTGTTGCATAAACTTCAATAGATCGGGTCTATTTCATCTGATACAGGCCATAATGGCTATGTCTTGAAATACTTTGGCATTCATTGTGACTCTGGCATGACCCTCTCGTATTGTCTACTACCATTTTCTCCATAGTTGGCTTTTATGTAATATCACAGAATTTCTGGAAACTCACAAGTATTAGACAGCCTGTTGCTTTAAAGAACCCTGTTATAAATATGTATTCTGTTAGCTCTGCTCCCCGTGGAATGTAGGGAATATATAAAAACAACTGACTCTTTGGCTTGCAAAATAATTTTAAAAGCCACAAAGTTTGCCTTTAGAGTCATGTGGCCAACTATCATAGAAGAGGAAATCCTTTGTATTAGGAAGCTTCCTGAACATTGCGAAAGCACAAATATTAATATATACATTTTGTGCCAAAGTGGTAAGTCCTTACCATCCACCGGACAATACCCTGCGAGAGAGTCTTCATCCACATCTGCAGTTGTTCCACACCAGAGTCGTGCATTTCCATCATCGTCTGTTATGCACTTTGCATGCCACTTGCCTGAATACTTGAATGGGAATACACAGGGGGCTCCCAAGTCATTGCCTTCTAAGGTAAAGAGTGCTAAATATATATATATAATAAACACAACATGTTATTCTAGAAAACATTTGGAAAGGATTAAAGTAAGAACACGGTTAAAGAAAGCTCAGATAAAGTCCCCAATCCAGAACTCTCTATGTGTGGTTGAAGAAAGAGCATTTGCATGTCCAGACTTCCAGGTCCATATTAATAAAGAAAGAGAATAGTTTTGAGCACTGATTTCTTTAAACTGAAAGCTTTTCTTTCTTAAAGACAGAATGTGCATATTACCTACACTGGTGGTACTGAAATTAGCATGCATTTTACAATTAATAGCATCTTAGAATCAACAAAATATGGTAATTCCATATTTCAGTGGAAAGACACTGCATCTGAATGATTGTATATGCCATTCATGTTCTCTCATCCTTTATCATTGCCTTAATTGGCCCATATTTTTGAAGGTGAACCCAAGTGTTCAAATTTTGTTTTGCGTATCCATATCGTTGAGTAGAAAAGCTCAATCCAAACAATTATGTTCCTGTCAAAGTTTCTCCGTTTGGCTAGAATGTTCCTTAGTTTAATGGAGAATCTCTCAGCTGGTGGATCATACTGGACTACAGCATCAGGATTGCCAATGGTTCACCAATATATAATTCCCCACCATACACACATGGGGTATTTTTTAAATTAATATAGTTTATGTGTTTTGGGTCTTTCCTGGGATAAAAGCAGGGTTTGGGAGGATCCTCTTAATCAGAACCATAACAGGGAGGAAACAGTTAAATATCTCCAGCCCCTTCTGCACTGTCCTATATCTTAGGATCTGATCCCAAACTGGATTATATGAGTCTCCGCTGCTAGATAATCTGGGATCAGATCCTAGGATATAGGGACAGTGTAGACAGGGCCTAGGTCTGACATACCCAAGTCCAGGCATTGCATAGTGGTCCATGTCTTAGTTACCTCTACATTAGACTATTGCAATGCACTCTATGTGGGGCTGCCCTTGAAGAAGGCCCGAAAACTTCAATTGGTCCAGCGTTCGGTGGCCAGACTTCTAATGGGAGCGAATTACAGGGAACGGTCTACCTCCCTGTTTAAGGAGCTCCATTGGCTGCTGTTTATTTTCCAGTCCAAATTCAAGGACCAGATTATCGCCTACAAAGCCCTGAACGGTTTGGGACCCGCCTACCTTCGTGACCGCATCCCGGTCTATGCACCTGCACAATCCCTTCGATCATCCAGGGGGGCCCCGCCTTTCACTCCCACCTCTATCGCAGGTGCGACTTGTGGGGATGAGGAGAGGGCCTTTTCTGTGGTTGCCTTTAGACTTTGGAACTTGCTACCTGTTGGGATTAGGCAAGCGCCCACACAGGCAGCCTTCAGGAAGAGTCTAAGAACTTGGCTGTTTCGGTGTGCCTTCGAGGATTAAACAACAAGTCCCTCACCTTGACCAACTCAGCACATAATGTCTTTTGATGCACTTTATCTTACCCTTCAGAGAACTAAATCCCATTGTTTGTCCCATCCGAACCTTCCACCAGATATATCACCCTACTCATCCATCTCACCCAGAGTTTTAAAAATCCTATTTGTTGTATTTGGCCCTGCCCACTTGGTTATTGTTTTGTTATTTACATTTTACCTTGCATTTATTTTATATTATTTTCCTTGATTTTATTGTATTCTATTTGTTGTATTAATTTATGATTTTATGTTGTATTCTTTTGCTTTACTGTAACTGTTGGACTTGGCCTCATGTTAGGCTCCCTGAATCCCCTTGGGGAGATGGAGGTGGGGTATAAATAAAGTTATTATTATTATTATTATTATTATTATTATTATTATTATTATTATTATTATTGGCTCTCAATTTTGGGATTTTTATTGTTACTGGAAACATTATATTTTAGACCTTAAATGCATGTAATTCAACATACTTGAAGCAGGCAGACTTTTTATCTAGAAAACAACATTCAGTCTCTGAAATTTACCTTCATATCCCTTGGCGCATAAGCTGTTTCTTGTGCCATAGGCAGTCCAGAAACTCTTAGGACTGGTTGTTTGAGATACTATCACATTGTCCTTCCATTCATTGGCAGGCTGTAAAAACAGATTTTCTTCCCTAAGTGCCAAAAGGGTCTCATTCTTGCAGATCCATCTCTGAAGTTCACTGGTCTTGTTACAGGGAGAGAGGGTGAGTGGAGCCAGGTTGGTTTTTGAAGTTACTGCTAGACATTGCTTTGTTCCCATGTTCACAATCTGGTCTTCAGAAGCCCACTTAAAATTTTGCCACTCATTATCCTTATTGCAGCTCATTGGGATGATGGAAAGAGATGTTTGAGCTTGTAGACAATGCCCAAGGTATTCATTATGTATCAGAAAAGTGTCAGGCTCTATAGAATTGAGAGAGGAAGATGACAGAAATATACATTTTCAGACAACTTATCAATTTATAGCCTGTAAAAGAAATATGACCACAATGCCAAGAACAAGACTTGAGGATATAATGGACCATCCCTCTCAATTCCTTGTGCAGCTTATTTTTACTATGACAAATACAGTTAACCCCAAGTTACAAACAAGGTAGGTTCTGTAGGTTTGTTCTTAAGTTGAATTTGTATGTAGGTTGGAACAGGTATATTTTTAAGTCTAACACCAGTCAGAAACATATATTTTATTTTTGAAAAGCATAGGGAAGGGTTAATATGGCTCTGGGATCAAGCCTTCAGCCAATAGTAATGATGGAAAATGTGCAATGACAATTAGAACTGCCTTGTTGTTGATATGGCATTGAACTGTTGCCTTTTGTAAAGCTATTCTGGCCTTTGGGGTGAGAAGGGTGAGGTATAAATACTTTAAATAAATAAATAAATAAAAAGGTTCCCTGAGGTGTTTGTTTTGCTATCCTGTGCACCTGTTCAGAATATTTCACCTCACTTTTTGACCCTGTGATAATAGGATTGTGATAAAGTTGTCTTGTTGTGAAGACAAGGATTGACGATAAAGCTTCAGTTGAAACAACTTTTCCCATGATAACTCTTCTAGGAGTAAATTCCTCTTCCGAGGGGTAGATTTCCCCCACTTCCTTTGTCTCAGCCCTATTCTTAACTATGAGTCATTTGTAAGTTGGATGTTTGTAACTCAGGGGCTGCCTTTGCTTTGGTTATCATTAGCTTATGCTTCTTTTACAGCCAAGGCGGTATATACGATGTCTTAGTTATGATTTGGATCCCAGTTCATTTAAAGAATTCTGTATAATTTTAACAATAATAAACAATAGGCTATTGTACATTTTGTTTGTCGAAAAACAAGGGAATTTAAGAGAATTTAATGAATATATATGTATGTGTGTGTGTGTGTATGTGTGTGTGTGTGTGTATACAAGGCTATTAGTAATATTAGTTTTGTTCTGTATCCACACAGCTGTATAAAATCCACATTGAACTGGATTGTATCACAGTGTGGACTCAGATAATCCAGTTCAAAGCAGATATTATGGATTATCTGCCTTGATATTCTGAGTTATATGGCTATGTGGAAGGGCCCTACTTTGAGCCTAAGGCAGCAGTTAGTTTTTACTTTAAAGTGTCATGGAAATTTGGATTAGCAGCCTAGATGGTAGTGGGTTAACCCTATCTCTTTATAGCAGTTCTTTCTATAGTGTAACCTACACATTGCTTCCAGCTAGCTGCTTCCAAACCAGTTTATAATCTTAACAGACAAAGAAAGTGTAGAATTAATAAGCCGATGTTACTAAAAATATCACTATTGCCATGTCAATAAATTAAGAAAATTCCCTTATCTCCAAGTATATCTAAATACTATCATCTCTCAAGAAACATATTCATTGTTTGTGTATTTATAACACCAAAAGAAAAATTTAAATCAAATAGTTCAAAAATAGAGGTTAAAGTAAAGGTAAAGGTTTCCCCTGACATTAGTCATCTCCGAATCTAGGAATGGTGGTGCTCATCTCTATTTCTAAGCTGAAGAGCCCGCGTTTCCATAGACACCTCCAAGGGCATGTGGCCAGCATAACTGCATGGGACACCGTTACCTTCCTGCCTAAGCAGGTACCCATTGATCTGCTCACATTTGCATATTTTAGAACTGCTAGGTTGGCCTAACAGTGGGAGCTCATCCTGCTCCCCGAATTTGAACAGTTGACCTTTTGATCAGAATGTTCAGCAGCTCAGTGGTTTAACCCGCTGTGCTACCATTGGGTCCAAAAATAGAGGATATAACAATAGTAATGAGAGAAGTGAAGAAGACCTTACCTGAAGCCTGGAAAGCTGGCTGGATAAGCAAGAGGAAACTGAAGAACGAAAAAGCAGACATTGGAAAGAACCAAACTTCCCATAAAACGCCTTTGAAATTAACACATGCGAGTTATTTGCTTTTCTAGAGCTCTTTCGTAAATAGGTTGGGCACAACAATGGCATATATTTATAACACGCAACATTTTTGAAAAATTACTCATTTTCTGTGGAACATTCTTAGGCAATAATGTGGTTTGATCAACAATTCAACTCAATTGACTTTATCCTGGTAAAATTCAGCTGAATTCATCAACTTCAAATCTAAGTTGACAAAATTGCATTGTCTAGGGCACATATGTCAAATGCATGACCCACAGGCCAAATATGGCCCATCAGGTCATATTATGTGGCCCACGAGGCTTTCAATGCCAGGGCAACATAACTACATTTATACAGTCTTACAACCACAAATGGCCCTTTGAAGGCAACCATAAGGCTGATGTGTCCCTCAATGAAAATGAGCTTGACGCCCCTAGTCTAGCAACATATTCAAGCACCTGCGGCTCTCCTTTCCCAATGTTCTTTATTGGTGTTATCAATAAACATCTTTTGATTCAAATATTTCAACAAAGACAAAAAGGTAGGCTTTGCACAAAAAGACTCCTTTTGGGGATCAAATAATGACAACAGAAAAAAGTGATTACTAAGATTTATAAGAAACTACTAGAATGTGCCACAGAAACAGAAGAAATTAAAGAATATATTGTCAAATGGTGGCGAACATTGGCCAGCAAATAAAACTAGAAGAGTGGGAGAGAATTTGGAACTACAAGATTAAATACACTTATTCACATGACTTAAAAGAGAATTAGTATAAGATAAAACACCAATGGTACATCACTCCACAAAGACTTTCCAACTGTTACAAGAATATATCAAATAAATGCTGGAAATGTGGTAATCAGATAGGCATGTTTTTCCACACATAGTGGATGTGTGGAATTGCTAAAAAATACTGGAGATAAATTTATGAAAGAATACAAAAAGTGTTAGAATTTTTTTTAAAAAAAATATTTATTTATTTATTTACTGTATAGGTATACTGCCCTTCTCAGCCTGCAGGTGACTCAAGTAAATTTACAGAGGCAACAATTCAATGCCCACAATACCATAAGCTACATTTTAAAACATTAACATATAATATAAAACCATAACAAGATCAATAAAAACACAAATAAAAATGGAATCTATGTATTTCCTTTTGGGAATGCCAGACTTAGAAAAGGAAAGAAACAAAGACATTTTATTTAACTATCTAGTCTCATATTGTATAGTAAGTAAGTAAACTTTATTACAGTTGATGACCAGCTCATAACAGGGGACCCAGTTCCACTCATCCACGTCAAACCCAAGGGGTTATATGCTTCAAACTTTCCCAATTTTTAAAGTGTTGGCTAAAAAACCACATACAAGTAGTTATTAAAACCCAACTCAACCCACGAGATCATCTGAAGGCAGTCTAAAGGAAGGTAGTAGGGATGACACCGGGGGGGGGGGGTGGATATCCAACACTATAAATATCAATCTATCACTGATTTCCCATCTATATTCCAGAGGCGAAGCTTAGATCTTTTGACTCTCAATTATCATCCGCCAGATTTTAATTGCAGCCATGCAGAATTTAGCGACATTGCATGTCACAGTTGAGTTTGTGTCTGAGAGCAGCAGGGCTACATAGAATTGTCCAGAGCGTCCTGGGTATTTAATTGTCCATGGTGAGATGAGACCAGATCAAATGTCTCTATAAAACAGGCACTGCAGAACCACATGCTCCATTGTTTCTATGTGACCTGAGTCACAGGGACATAGCCTTTCCGACTATGGGGTCTTCTGGTAATGACCTTCCAGTATGGCAGAAGAAAGCCCATGAGCTCCTCAAAGTGGCACCTGGAGTGGGGAGAGGCCTCTAAAACACCTCCCCCACCTTCCTCTGGAGCTCCAACGGCTTCTTCTTCCTCATCATCATCCTGCCACCATTGGGAGCACAAGAAACTATCTAGTCATATATGCCAGAAATTGGAGAGTTAAAGAAACACCCTTGATCAAAGATTGGCTAATCAAAATAACAGAGATTATGAATATGGATAGACTCACACACTCATTACATCAAGGCACACCAAAAACTCAAACAAACTAGCAACCAATTAAAGACTATCTGAAATGAATGAAGATTAAAATAATAATATAAGATATAAAGAAATTACAAGAAATTTGTTCACAAATAGAGACAGAAAGAAAGGAGACCTAAAGAAGAGAAAGGACATAGTGCTATTTTCCCCCTGCGAATTCTTGAAAGGACTACACCATTAATATACTCCCAATACTTTTTGCACTTTTTTCCTTTTTTTCCTTTTTCTCTCTTTATATCACTATATTTTTCCTATTTCACTTCTTTCCCCTTTTCCATATATATTCTTTTTAAATGTATTGTATATAATATTTGTGTGCTAGTAATAAGCATTTTTTTTTACAAAAAAAATTCAATTGGATTTTTTTTAATAAAAAAAGAAGATGCCTGGAAATAGACATACTCTCTTCCTTCTTATTGAATACTATTGTACTCTGAGGCCTTGATCAAACTCAAAGACAATCCTCAGCTGCTGTTTTGGTTCTAGCTCAAGATAAAGAATTGTTCTAAAGACATTATGTGTGGCTACTCAGTGAGTTGTTAAGTGAAGAACTGGACTGAATTCTGATATATTCTAGGTATTGGAGATGGAGAGAGATTACTGTATTCTGCCATAACTGGGTTTTGATCAATGAACTCTTAAAAGCTTGTTTACAGTGGCCAATTAATCTTGGAACTGTCCAGAAGACTCCCAGAGGCCCTGGAGGCGTTAACACATTCTGTCCCTGACTCATAACAGTGGCAAGGTAGTCTACATGGTCCAACTGGGCTGAAACCCATTCAGCCCAGTTGGATTGTCACCTTATCTTTCCTGTTGCCATCACCACTGCAGATAACCTGGGTGCCTGTACAACCAGGCGTAAGGAAGGGTTGGCCCCTAACTGTGCAGACCCCTTTGCTGATGCTGGCAAGAGGCACTTGCAATAGTCAGGGGCTCTCCAGGAACTTTGTGGCTGTCTGCAACAACTATAGTTCCGACCTAGGCCCTAGTCATCAATTTTTTACTGCAGTAACAAAAAAGGGAAAGGTGGTGCAGACCTGCGTAGACAATAGACTTATTTGTTTTGAAGACAGACTATTGTCCATACTGTGGCCAAAGTGTAGGACTGCTCTGGAATGTTGTTGAAATGCAGGAGTATTCCCTGACTTTCCTTAAGATTGGTCTAAACTCATTCACTCCAGTTTACCCCATGCTAATGACCAGAAGTCTCTGGACGTCATGTTGATGTCCAGGAGCGACTTCTGGCCTACTTCAGGTTTGGGGGTGCATGCAGACAAATCCTAACCATCCTAGTTTCCTATTGCACTCATGTCATGTTTATGCAGTTTCCACAATAGAATTAATGCAGTTTGATACTGCTTAAACTGCCCTGGCTCAATGCTATGAATTTCTGGGAGTTGGTATTTGGTGAGGCACCAGAACGCTTTGGCAAAGAACCTTGTAACCTTGTAAAACCACGACACATAGAATTTAGCCATGGTAGTTAAAGTGGTGTTGAATTGTATTAATTCTGCATTGAAGATACACCTGTTGTCCTTTGTAGAAAGACAATTTGCCTCTAAATTGATCCAGTGGTCATAGCATCACACTTCAGTCTGCTACGTGGAGAGAAAAAACTGTGTAGTATTTCATTTAAGGGGCCACGGTGGCACAATGGGTTAAACCGCTAAGCTGCAGAACTTGCTGACCGAAAGGTTGGCGGTTTGAATCTGCAGGACACGGTGAATTCCCGTTGTTAGCCCAAGCTTCTGCCAACCTAGCAGTTCAAAAACAAGCAATTGTGAGTAGACCAGGGGGATGTGTACAGACATCAAGAAAATGTAGGTTTTTGGGAAAGAACAAAAATGACATCGCATTGTGGGAAGCAGTTCCAAAGATACCAAGAATAAAAAGACTAAGCCATTTAGACTTTTGTGGGTACTGGAGATGGAGGAGCCAAAGCCACAGGAGGATTATTTCTGGGAACAAAAGAACCAATTCTGTTAACTTCAACTAGCTTTCTTTAACATTCTGCCTGTTACTTGGCATTACTGTGCTGCTGACTTTCAGTAAGTGATACTTACCTTTATTCCCTTTTCTTATTTCTTGTGAATTAACATTTACTTCACATTCCCTCCCTTTTTGTACTCATTTGTTGTAATTTTTCACAGTAAAGAATGAGATCAGCACAGACCAGAATACAGAAATTTCCTGTTCTGCTTGAAGAAAATCATGAAGTGAAACCTTTTATTTTATTATGGGGAAGTCTCAATTGTGTTGTAATGTAGTTATTAAACAAAATAGTTACAAAAAGTAAAGCACTTTGCTACTGATATATTAATTTTACATCAGTAGTTCTCAACTTATGGGTCAGAGAGTTCCACTGCTGAACAACTCTCACAGGCAGGAAGTTCTTCCTAATGTTCAGATGGAATCTCCTCTCTTGTAGTTTGAAGCCATTGTTCCACGTCCTAGTCTCCAGGGCAGCAGAAAACAAGCTTGCTCCCTCCTCCCAATGACTTCCCCGCACATATTTATACATGGCCATCTTGTCTCCTCTCAGCCTTCATTTTTTCTACCTAAGTGGAGTATCTTGCATTTGATGTTTACTACGTTTACTAATGAAGCCTGATGTTCATTAGTTCTTTAAATTTGGATCATTTAATAATAGAACAGTTTTGACAGTTGCCACATTAATCTGTTTTTAATCAATGCATGTTAAACTTTTTAAAAGAACCAACAACACAACTATGCTGCATTACACAGTTATACTCACAAGTGATCTGAGACAGCTGATTAATTTATACACAAAAGTTCATTGGTCAGTGTATGCATTTTCAAATATCAATTTGTTATCCTGCAATGAGTGAAGTTAGCCTCACGATATTTTGGTTTGTTTGTTTTTTAACTATTACCCAGCAAACTCTGTAGGTCACATTTTCTTAAGCATGGACCACCAT